GCAACGTATGTTTTAAATGGTTACAGTGATAGAAAGTGGCATATAAGACACAATTAAGGCTTAAGACGAACGTAGTCATCTCCATTTGGAACTTTAGGGAGCACGAGGAGTCTTCAGGACATCAGGCTGAGGGGAGTAGGAAGCTACTGAAAACACAGTTTCGGAACTCAGGAATGAGGTCTTGGCTGGAGATAAGCTTGGGAATCATCACTGAGGGCTGCTGAAGCACTCACAGAGGAAGTGATTGGCTAGAGCGTGAACCATGAGATGGGGTCTCTGGAGTGAGCCCTATGTTTAAGGACAGCTAATCAGAAGGAGACAGGAGTATAGGCTCTGTCTACACCACCCATTTTGATGGCAGCCTTTCCCAGAAAGTATTCTGTGAGCTCCCTTCTCGAAAGATGTTCCCCAGAGCCTCTCTCCTAAGGCCCCTTCCACAGCCTGTCTCGCTGCACAGTAACACGTGGCTATGATCTGTCTCTTTAGCTCTGTTTCTGTCACCTCCTAGAGGGTGACAATTCCCTCCTTTTAGTCTTTATCTCCCCATGTGAAGCAAAGGGCTGGGCCCCTTTGATGACTCCATAAATGACTGTTGAAATGAATGAAATAAATATGTGTGTTCTGTTGTGTTGTGGGAATTCACATCATGAATCCACAGGGGAATGGGACTCAGAAGGAGCTAGAAACCCAGCTGGTTTCCTCTTCCTCACCCCTTTTCCCTCTCTTCCTCTTGCTTCCTATTCTGTACTGAGAGGAAACAGCATCAACTCTCCAATGCAGACAGGCACTGCCCCTAAATCAACCTTTCATGAGCAACATGAAGCATTTAAGATTGTACTTGTGCAAGACTTCTCCTTCTTCTCTCCCTCTTCAATCATTATATTGCTGTTGTTATCATTGATAGCTGCCGACGAGTCATCCCGATTCATGGCCACACCACGCACAATGGAACGAAATACTGCCCAGTCCTGCACTATCCCCATGATCAGTTGTGGATCAGACCATTGTGATCCATAGGGCTTTTTGTTTTTTGGTTGTTGTCGTAAAAATATACACGACACATCTGCCAATTCAATATTTTTCAGGTACATAATTTAGCGATACCAGCTACACTAATCATGTCGTGTAACCATCACCCATAATCGTTTCCAAATTTCCCATCACCATAAACAGAAACTCAGTGCCTCCTAAACAATGACCATAGGGTTTTCACTGGCTGATTGTCACAAGTAGATCACGAAGCCTTTCTTCCTAGTCCATCTTAGTCTGGAAGCTCTGCTAAAACCTGTTCAGCATCATAGCAACACACAAGCCTCTACAGACAGACAGGTGGTGGCTGCACATGAGGTGCATTGGTCAGGAATCAAACCTGGGTCTCCTACGTGAAAGGCAAGAATTCTACCACTGAGCCACCACTGCCTCAAATCATTATAATAATTACCTGTTATTGAATGCCTACTATGGGGCAAGCACTCTGCAAGTATTATCTCATTTAATCCTCACAAACTGTTTAGTAGCTCCATTCGACAGATGAAGAAACTGAGGCTCAGAGAGACGAAGTAATGATCCTGGGCCACAAGCCATGGAGAGGGAGAACCAGGTTCAAACCTAGACCTCTCAGACTCCAAATCCACAGTTTCTGGCTCTACCATTAGCCTCCTCCTTCTTCCTCCTCCCCTTCCTCCCCTTCCTCCACTGCCAGCTCCCTCCCCGCCCCAACCCCAGCTCACTGTGACTCTCACTCATTCCCTCCTTAGCTCACACTGTGTCTGACTCATACGTTCTTGGGCAGACAAGCGGGGTGGGGGTGGAAAGGGGGTGGCCAGATGGGTGGTGATTACTAGTTTGGGTTTGTCTTTTCATGGCTGTCAAACATGGTTCTGGGACCCCTTCTGGGCCCCCTCTGGGGTCCCTGGGAGGAAGAAAAGAGCAGACAAAGGGCTCATCTTCAAATGTGTGACTAAGAAGATAGGAAATGGTCTCTGGACCTGGCCTTGGAGACTGGACTCAGAGCCCACCCTTCCTGTGGATGTGACGGTCACCAGGGGCATTTCCTTAAAAACTCTGAGTTTCTTGGGCCTGACTTTGCTGCCTAGCCTCATTCCACTGGCCTGGGGAGGAGAAAGTTTGGGAGACAAAGCCCTAGACTAGGATTCAGGAGACTAGGGATCTGGATCTGATGCTGACACCAACTTGGGGGACCTCAGGAAAGATACAGCTTCTCTGAGCCCTGGTTCTTCATTTGTAAAATAGGACAATTCTCCCAGGCCTGCCTATTTCTCAGGATGGGGGCCTTGGCATGGGGAGGGCTCTGAACAAAGGAGGCAGGACTGGGGGAGAAAAGGAGCGGATTCTAGGGGCAAGACAGCCACCACTAAGACAAAAACAAAAATAGTTGCCTTTGAGTCAATTCCCACTCATGGTGGCCCCATGTGCTGCAGAATTGAACTGAGCTCCATAGGGTTTTCAAGGCTGTAATCTTTCAGAAGCAGACCACGAGGCCTTTCTTCCCATGTACCCCTGGATGGGTTTGAACCACCAACCTTTTGGCTAGTAGTCAAGCACTAAACCATTTGCACCACCCAGGGTCTCCTACTACCAAGACGGCCACCACCAAGATGGCCATTCTCTTGAGCTGGGCCAGGACCATCTCACCAAATCCCTCCTGATGGGAAGGCCTTTCCCAGTCAACAACTCTGCCTCAGACTAGGACTGAGGAATGACAAGGCCAAGAGAGGAAGAAGGAGAGAAGATGAAGGAGACAGAAAGTAGGAGGAATGGTATATGAGGAAGGATAGAAAAAACTCACCTCAGGATACTAGGCACAGAGGTTAGCACGCAGGATAGGGCTCTAGCTTTGGCTCTGCTCCTCACTGGAGAGTGAACTTAATCAAATATAGTCCATCTTCGAAACTCAGTTTCCCCCATATGTCATCTCAGATTTTATGACCTCCTCAGATATATCCTCCACTTGCCTTTCAGAGGCTGGCCCCATGGATTCATTGTCCAGGAACCCTTCCTTGATCCCCTCTCCCACCACCTTCTAAAAGTCCTGCGTCTCCCTCAGCCTTGACAACCCTTAATCTAAGCTTGATCCCCTTATATCCTGACTTACACTGTGTCACACACCACAAGGCAGAGGCTTAGGTGAATCACCTCTGATCCCCCCTGTCAGGCACTTATACACAGTAGGTGCTCCACAAACATTCTGCTAGTGATGGTCAGACAGAAAGATGGTCACACAGACAGGTGGATGCATGCATTAAAAAAAATAAGCCTACTTTGTCTGCTGACCAAGTTCCTGGTCAAAATTGCCTTCCATAAGAAGCCTGGATTAATCCCCAGCCACATACTCCTTCAACAGCTCAGCCAAAGGAAGTTGCAATCCTCCACTGCTACCTTTCTCCCCCTAGACCTCAGCTCCTGCCCCTTCTCAAAGGCTCCTCCAGTTGCCACTCTACTTTATCCAGAAGATTCTAATCCCACAGGTCTGGCAGCCCAAGGAGCTTGGACCCAGCCACCTAACCTTACCTACCCATGCTGCTGCTGTTGCTATTGTTGTTGTTGTTGTTAGCTGCTGTCAAGTTGGCCTCCAGCTCAGTGACCCCTTGCACAATGGAACTAAATGCTGTCTGGTCTTGTGCCATCCCGTGATCAGTTGTCGATCAGACCATTTTGATCCACAGGATTTTCATTGGCTGATTTTCAGAAGTAGATCACTAGGCCTTTCTTCCTAGTTTGTCTTAGTCTGGAAGTTCCACTGAAGTCTGTTCAGCATCATAGCAACACACAAGCCTTCAGTGACAGACAGGTAGTGGCTGTGCATGAGGTACATTGGTCAGGAATTGAACCCAGGTCTCCCACATGGAAGGCAAAAATTCTACTACTGAACCACCATTGTCCTTGACTACCCATGCTACTGGGAAGCTCTTTTTTAAGTACCGTGGAACTCTTCTGCCGTACATGACCCCACAGAAGTCCCCATAAGCCTTCCTTCAAGTCACAGAACTCATGGATACTGGAAGGAGAGGTTCCCAGACCAGTAACTCATCACAGATGACCCAAGTCCCAGCCCTAAATTGCCAGCACTTCATCCTACCCTCAGACATACATATGTACACACCCTGGTCACCAAAGAGCAGAGTCTCACCTTGATGCTCCTCCAATTTTCCCATGGTCTCAATCTGCTCCACCAGGTCATTTGAATTCCACTGGCTCATCCCAATGAGGATGGCATTCTTCCCTTCAGTCATGTCCTCTGTGGGAAGAAGCAGAGTTGGGTATGAGCAGGCAGGTCTGTGTGCCAGGGGGAGTATTTATTTATTCCTTTGAGTTGAGATAGATTTCAACTTTTAAAGGTGTCTATAGTTATAGACAGGTATGAGACATTCAGGAATTTTTAACTGCAAAGAAAGCACTGTTGTTGTACCCTACAGGGCTTCCACATGTTGCAGCAAAATAAATAACAAAGGAGTATTCACAAGAGAGGTTGAAAACCCATAGGAGCCTCCATCCCTGGTGGCACTGCAGGCAGTATTTCTTAAAAGATGCTATATCAGGAAAGAAAGAGCAAAAACTTGCCACTTACTAACAGTGTTCTTTGAGTCAGTTGTTTGAGTTTCTGAGCTTCAGTTTCTCATGTAAAATGGAACTTTCAATGTCTATCTTACAGAGTTGTTGTGAGGATTAAATTAGACAATGGGTGTAGAGATCTTGGAGCACAGGAAGTACTCAGTAGATGACACAACCATTATGGTTTTCCTTCACATGCGTAGAAAGTTACTATCAGGATTTGAGTGGATCTGGATTTGAGTGGAGCAGGGACAGCTCAGAAGTAACTAGGGGAACAGATGTCTGTCTCTAAGAAAGCCTTGAGCTATGCGAAGCCCTTAGCTCACATCTTACCCTTATGAACCTCTTAACCCCTCCGTTAATTGACTCCTTCCCTCAACCCTGTTTCAATCCTTGTCCTTTCCTAGTCTGAGCTTAGTGATAACAATGGGTGAAGTCAATGGGGCAATATTCCCTAACCACACTGAACATAAGCCCCTGCGTCCCACACATCCACAATCCACTACAAATATCTGATGCAATCTGTGGTCCTGTAAAGGGGCATTCCCTCAATAATAAACCCATAGGATCTCTCTCCCTCTCCCTCTCCCATCATAGAACCTTCTGAAGAAGAGCTTTGTGCCCTCTCTCCGGGATCAGACAGTAAAAGATTTTGAGGAGAATCTCCAAGATCCATGATAACCAAAAATAAAAGGATGAGGTCTATTTCACCACCAAAAAACTTTTCATATCAGATGGAACCAATATGGTAGATAAGAAGTCTGGGGAGAGCTGTCCAGGGTTCTGAATCTCTCTAAATCTCAGTAATCCAGACCCCATTTCTGGGTGAGACACCTAATCAAAAACCAAACTCATTGCCATCGAGTCAATTCTGACTTATAGCAACCCTGTAGGGTAGAACAGAACTGTCCCATAGAGTTTCCAAGACTGTAAATATTTATGGAAGCAGACTGCCACATCTTTCTCCCACAGAGTAGCTGAAGGGTTCAAACCTTCAACTTTTCTGTTAGCAGCCGAGGCACTTAATCACTGTGCCACCAAGGCTCCTACTCCTGCCTTATTTTATTTATTGATTTGATTTATTTAACAATACTTATCAAGCCCTCACTACACACTGAGGTTTGCAGTGTTTTACAAATACTAACTTATTTAATTCTCTTAACAACACTAAAAAGGTACAATTACGTTTCCATTTTGTAGACAAGGAAACTAAGGCAGAGATTAGTTAATTAACTTGCCCAAGTCACTGGCTAGAGCCAAGATTCAAACTCAGATACATGGTTTCAATAGTTCTTAAATTCTGCCCTGCTGATAGCCTCTCCTTAATGACCTGTATTGGCTACCCAACACTCTGTCAGGCATCATGCATACCCAGGCAATTTCCTGAGCCCAGCATGTTGCATTTGGGGTGCCACAGGCATTGATTTATGCCTGTAAGCAGCACAATGTACTGGGAAGAGCCCTGATCTGAGTTCCAGTCCAGACTTTGCTACATGAGGGCCTCATGCCTTTGCACATGTTCCTCATCCACCCCTCGCCTTTTCTTACCTCTTAAATGGGAATCACAAGTCTAGCTCAATAACTCTTTCTAGCAAGGTGTTGTGTGGACAAATGATATAGTAAACTTGAAAGAACCACGTAAACCAAGATACTGTAAACAAATACATGGTGGTATTATTCTTGGGGATGGAGTCCTGGGTGATGCAAATGGTTAAGCACTCAACCACTAACCAAAAGCTTGGTGGTTTGAACCCACCCAGAGGCACTTCAGAAGAAAGGCCTGATGATCTACTTCCAAAAATATCAGCCACTGAAAACCCTATGGAACACAGTTCTACTCTGACACACATGGGTTCGCCATGAGTCAAAATCGATTTGATGCAAATGCTTTGGTTTTTATTTTTATTGTTGGAGAAACAGAAATGTAAAGAGGTTAAGAGCTCAGTTCTGGTGTTAGATCAGTTATTTCCAATCCTGGATCCACCAACTACTAGCTATAGGACCTTGGGCTAATAATTTCAGTCTTATGAGCCTCAGTTTCCTCATCTATCAGCGGATATGATAGTAAAGCCTATGTCATAGAGTTGCGATGAGAATTAAATGAGATAATGCAGGTAAACTGTGTTACAAGAGGGCCTAGCACAGGAAGGACACAGACAGAGCCAACATCACACGATGATGAAGATGGCATCATCATCACCATTATCACCACCATCACCACCACCACCAGCAGCAGCATGTGAGATTACGCCCAACACTCACTCTTGGTTCTAGCCATGCCATTGTCTGCCCCTACAGCATTCTCATTCTAGCTCCAAAGTGGGGTAGTCACGATTAGTCTGTAGCCCACCTTGAGTTCTTTTGCCTCCTGGTGCACTTACTCAAGCAAGCAGTTGTCCATTCACTCATTCTAACACTCATTCTACAATGAATGAATTCCTGACCGCCGACTGTGTGCAACGTGACTTCCATTCTGCAGGAATCTGGTTTTGTGAAACACGTGATAACAGTGAACTCTGACACGGTGAAAGGAGACAGCACCTGGGCATGAGCAGGAGCTCCACAGGTGCTCAGCACATCCTAGCTCCCACTTTGTCTACAGTGCGCTCAGCCCTATCCCAGGGTGTACAACAGGCTATCAGAACCCCGAAGGGCTCACAGGGCTGGGGCGCTCTGAGCACGCCTATTTCTGTGCAGCCCTGGTCTCTTTCCCATTCTTTCTAGTGATGTGTATGCCCCTACCCCATCTTCTACTCTTGGTCTTTTGTCTGTCTCCCTATTAAATACACAGTAAAACCTGCGAAAGCCAGAACCTGTGTAAGGCAGAAACCTGTCAGAGAAGGAAAACGCAAATATTTTCCCCTAAAACGAGGGACAGAAAAGTGGTAAGACTGCACCCTGTTAAAGGC